AAGAAGTGTGGTTCTGAATCCCAGAAGCTACAAGCTTTCATTGGTGATATAGAATTCAGAGCTGTACTAAATTTTGCTACCTGATGAATAGAAAGGAGGAGTTTCAAATCAAGAAATTCAGCACTTAGTTCCAGAAACTAATAACTTTGGTGGGTCCTTCATTCAATACTGCATCCTTACAAGTCTACAGACTTCCAGCCTTCATTTTGGCTCACAGAATTAGACCTGGCACTTGGAGCTTCTTGAACTCTTACTATTATTACTTCAGAGCCCCAGCTAATGCAAAAAAGCAAGGTGACATCCCCAACACCTTGGTCTCAGGACACTCACAGTCCAAATTAATGTTTCTTCCATAATGATAATCCTGCAGTTATAACATGTTTTCATATTCATGATCTTATTAAGTCCTACATTAGCTGTATGCATGGACAGGGAGACTATTATTATTATTGTTATCAACATCATCACTCCCATTTTGTAGATGGGGAGATAAACAAACTAAGAACATGATCTGTGGTCACATAGCTGATGACAGAGCCACAGTTATACCCAGATGAGCAGGTGACCTCACTCATAGCCTATGTTTTTCACCAGACTTGCTGAGGCGTGCAGATTTGCCCTGTGACAGGGCCTCTCAGCCAGGCTTTCCAATTACCTAAAGGGATCTTTAAACCATAGGCATTGATATATCCACCTCTGAGTATCTGATTCACTAGGTCTGGAGTAGAGCCCAAGAATTTATTTTTCTAACAATGTTTTAGGCAATTCTAATGCTGCCAAAGAGCACTGTTTTAGGAGTGCTGTTCTACAGATTGTATGCAGTAATTGAATGACAATGATACATTAAGGCAAGATAGTTTTATAAGAAGGAAGTTTGTTTTGCATGATGCCACCTCATGCCTCATTCTTTTCTCCATTTTTGACCTCCACTGGGAAAGACCAGAGTGGGGGAGGGGAGGGGAGATGGTAAGAGGGCACCTTGTTGTTTAGAATGAGTTTAAATCTTCTGGCACTCAAGAATTGGACAGCAAAACCCTTTTACTATAAAAGCAAAACCCTACTACTATAGATTAACCTGGAGGTATGATTGCCAACCAAGCAATGAAGAAATGCTCTAAGGATGGACATGGGCAAGTATGATTAGATGGATCTGTAGACAGCTGATCCATTAACCAACAATCTTTAGATAGATTTTTCCATGTCAACCTAGAAGGATGTTCTAAATGGCGAAAGAGAGAGAGAGAGATCCGTTCTTGATCTATCCTAGTCAAGATAGGAGAAGTGAGAAGACTGGTGAGAAGTTTCTTTTAGCACAGACTCAGTTTGAGTCAACAGGTAATACATGTGCTAAAATAAATAAATAAAAATAAAAGGAAGAAGCTTGCCTTTTCTAGGTTCTGGAGGCCATCTATACTCAGCCCAAGACCACAAATAACTCCAACCTCTTGTCTCCGCCATCATCTCCTACTACTAGGAGCCACTACTAGCTCTGATCCTTCTACTTCCTCTTATCCTCCTGCCCCTCTCTTATATGAACCCTCATGATTACATTTAGAGCCTACCTACCTATTATAGGATAATCTCCTCATCTAAGTATCCTTAATTTAACCACATCTGCAAGACACCTTTGCCGTAGAAGCTAACATTCATAGTTTCTGGGGGTTAGGACATGGATATCTTTTGTGGGGTCTTTATTCAGCCTGCAATAGCCCCTTTGTGATATTGTTTCTTGGACTACATTAAGAGCATGGTACTTCTTTCTTGGCAGCAGTACTTAACAAGTTCTGTAATAAGGAAGAGGGCATGGGACCAGGAAACAGAACTAGGTTTCAGCACTAGTTTTGCTTCTACCAAGTTGTGTAATCTTAAGCCCATCTGACAAAATGTCTCTGTAAAATGTTTCAGCTCTTCTCTGTAAACTGACAGAACCAAAGAATCTCTTAAACACTTCCTATGTCTAAGATTCTATACTCCCTTAAATCTATCAGTCTGTTTCTAGAGGATATTTAAATCTAAAAGCAAGAGCTTGCTTACCACCTCTAATATTTAGAATAAATCTCATTCACCTCTCTTTTGAATTCAAAATACACTTAAATTTTGAATTTAGTTGTGCTACCTGAGTACTTTATGCTGTAAAAATCGTGGTGGGGCTAGGAAAATCACCAATACGAGTACTTTTTACTACCTAATTCTTAAATATCCTATCCAATACTACTACTTTAGTCTAAGAATGAAATCACTAGTCTTATACATATTGGACTCTTGAAGCACAGAAAGAGTAAACTGTAATTGCATATGAAGAACTAAGAGAGAATAGTTGTTGCCATCAGCTCATTTGAGATACCATCTACCATCAAGAGCAGGTGCAATACTGGACATTACATTAAATATGCCAAGGCGAATGTAAAGACCTTGTCCCAAAGATCTCAGCCTCAAGGCATGAGTGACAAACGAGGACAGTCACTGAATGACTGCTAGCATTATTTTAGGGGTCAAAGAAATAGAAAAGGGCTGAGATTTTATTCTTTTTTTTTTCAGTTTGTCTTATTCTCAGATAGGGCCTGGAACTTGACCACTGATTCACAAGAGGAAATTGGGCTGGTTTGATACAAATCTCTCCACAGGACTGGAGTCATCCCACAAACACTGATTTTAAATGATGATTTACGGAGGGCCACAACGAATAATTTGGAGGAAGTTTATAGGAAAGAAAGCTTTGAGAGCTGAACCAGAAAAGGTGCTTGAAAGTAAATCAAATTATGGCATACATTGAATTATGGCATTTATTATTATGTGCAGAGTATGCATGGAATTTTGAACTAAAAGCCGAGGAAGCAAAGGTCTAGAAACTCTCATGCATAGTAAATAAATTAACCCTTTATTCTCTTACTTTCTATGCTCCCTATATTCGGTGACTTGTTCATACAAATGTACACTGAAAAGGACTAATAAATCATGCTCTACCATGAGTACACTCAACTATTTGTGCACATGATTCAAGTACATGCCTCCAGTAGATTTTCTTTGGTATCATGTAGACACAGTCCATATTTCAAAGGCCAAGAATTCTTTGGGAAAAGAAGGGTTGTGTGTGTTATGACTGTCAAACTTTCCTAAGCTTATTAAGTTGGGATCCTTTGTCCTTTTCTTCCGTAATTTGAAGATTATTCTAGTAATATGTTTGGTGAGGAAAAAACCTGCCAAGTAAGTCAGGGTCTAATCGTTGTATTAATGACTATTCTAAAAGAGTTCAATATACTGTACCATTCAGAACCTAGTGTTATTTCTACTTTAAAAGATCAGTTTTCATTGCTAATTTTTATGCTGGAAACTATATAGTATAAGGAAATCAGTTTATCATGAGCATCATGATAAGGTCATCGGCTCTTGAAATATCTGCCCATGAGGAAAAAACTGTGTGATTGGAATCCTGTCACCAAGGAAATGGTTTAAAAATCTGTTTATTTCAAATATTAGCTTCAGCTAGTTATCTTTTTGCAATGACTTTAATTCTTTTGCCTATTCATTCGTTTATTACATGGCTCCTATACAGTAATCGGTTAGAAAAAAAAGAACACCCCTTATTATTATGCAAACCTTAAATATAGCTATATGTTTTTGTGTGTTCATATGCCTTTTTAAAGAGCACATTTGTGACAGGAAATGAAGAATGGCATAGTCGGGGAAAAATTAAAGAGACACGATGTAATTATCTGAACTGGAATTAAGCCAATTAATAACCCGTGTGCTAACACTACCCTCAAAGTGCTGAAAATGCCGTCAGATATTTAAATGCCCTGGGTGGTCATGGCCAGCAGTCTTCACCTCATCCATTTTCAGCACCACACGGGGACATGGCTCACTCTGGCTTCTGAGGAAGGGCCACCACCTGAAGTGAGCTACTAAAGAAGTAGAGGTACAGATTGTATAATCCGAGCACAAGTGTTTGTGCACAGCCTTTTGCTTATTTTTAATGAAATCAAAACACTGGTGTTTTATGTTTTTGATTATTTATTCAACACGTATTTACTGAATAATACCTACCATGTGCCAGCCCAGCATCATGGCTAAGGATACAAGCTTCAAAGTCACCCTGCCTGGATTTCATCTCTGGCTCCAGACTTACTAGCTGTGTGTTCTTGAGCACGTTACCTCCCCGCTCTGTTCCTCAGTTTCTTTTCCTATGAAATGAGGATTTGTAGTGCCTAATTCATAGAGTTGCTGTGACACTAATGTACGGAACAAATATAAAGTACTTAGCAGAGTGCTGAGCACAGACCAAGTACTCAGTAATATGTTTGTTATTATTATTATGAGCTGGGAAATATACAAAGTCTGGGTAGAAAGAGATCAAACAATCCTCAGATGATCTTTGAAGTTTAAGTTCTAGAACTTTGGGATTCTAAGCTTTGTAATCTCTCTGCCAATCCTTTCTAATAGAAATCTGTACATTAGGTCCTTGCTTTGCTATGAGTATCCCTGTCTCGAACCTACATGCTTTGAATATAATATACTCAGCACATCCATAGTATGCAGTTTTATTTATTTATACACTCACTTTATACCTACCTCAATAATAATTACCACGTAATACCCATCCATGGACTTCATATATGTTGGCTCATGTCATGCTCAGAACAACCATATGGGATTAATATTATCACATTTTACATTTTACAGGTAGGAAAACTGAGGCTCTGAGAGTGTCCATGACTTATGCAGTGTTATAAAGGTCTCTTTGACTCCAAAGCCCATTCCCTCTTTCACCCAATTTACCCAACATGCATTTACTAAGCACATCACTTCTCTGCTCTAGCCTCTTGCCTATCAGGTGCTTTGAGACCTGCGGAAGGACCAGTGTCAAAATCAGTGGCCACCTCTCCCTAAACTGACTGATTGTGGACCGGGTGTTTTAGACATGTCACAGCAGCCATTGTTAAAGCATTTAATGTACAAATAAACTAAATGACTTTGGCTATGACTTCTCTCAGCTTACTTGCCTTCCAGTGGGCTTCCAGGTGCCTGACATTTCTCTCAATATTATTCTTCCACCTTAAGTAGCAACATCGTCACTGAAGCATGACTGAGGAGTTTTCCCTTTTATATACATCATGATTCTTGGGTTAGGACAGGAGGCTTCTTCTCTCCAGTAACACCTGATGGTACAGCTCTCTTCATAAGCACCTCTTCCCCCTTAAAGAAAAAAAAAAGTACCTTCAATTATCTGTTGTCAAAAGGGAGATAGATCCTTACTGAATATGATCATATGTGTCCAAAAAAAAGATACCATCCAATATATGGGCATATAATACTGCTTTCCCTTTCTCTTTTAGAAGCTCATTTCAATTGAAATATATAGGAAAAGTTGCCCACAGTTAATCTTCCAGGTAGCAAATCTCACCGGTGATTTAGAACGGCATTGTAGGCTGATAGCCTCAATCTCTTTCACCCACAGTGTGCCTATATTTTAGAAATCAGTTGTAGGAGAAAACAGCATCTTCTTACATGGTGAAATACAGTAGATAATATACATAGAGAGAATTGCAAACTCTGGGAGAGGTCTCTGTGGATCGATCCACTGGTCTTCGTTAGCTTGGAATGTGGCACCAACTATACCTTGCTGAGACAGGGCCTCAACAATGCTATATTTTTCTGCTTTTTATCTGAGACTGATTTAAGACTTAAGTCCCTAGCCCTAGAATTCAAAATGGACAGGAAAATATTTCGACTTAGCTATTTATACATTTTAAAAACTAGAGGTTTGTACACTAACTGTAGAGATGGAGGAATCCTGTTATTCTAGAGACAAGGTTGGTATCCATACCTGTTGGGCCAGAGTCTGTAAAGAAAACTGGAGGTTAGCTGGTATGATAGAAAGAGCGCCAGCCTGGTGGGCCACTGGGGCCCTAGGTTCCAATGTCGACTTGCTATTGCCTTTGTGATTTATTAGCCTAGGTCTCTGGACCTCAGTTTCCTCGTCTGCTAAATTAGGGCACTGGGGAGATGGATCTCCGTGGCTTTTGCCAGCTCTGGTATTCTCTGGGTCTGCGAATCGCCTTCCGTGTCTGCCATAGTCTGCCTTGCCAGCTCTGTTTGTCACAAAGATTAATCCATTTTAACTGTACCTTAGAGTGCTCCCGGGAGAGAGGATGGATGGATTGTTTTGCACCTATTATTGCATCAGAACTTTTGCCTTTTTAGATGAGATCGTGCCTTGCCTAAAATCTGTCTGCGTGTCTGCCCACTGACTTTGTCTGTGCTGATCTCTTGCCATGGTGCCTCTTCCAGCATCCATCTCCCTCCAAGATCTAGACTCGGCATCTGACTGTACCTGTCTTGTTCTCTGCAGCATCTGTCTGCTGCACTCCTAGACCATCGTTAATAAACTTTCACACATCACACGCAGACCCTAATATGTTGGCACCTGCACATAAATATCTACCGTTCATAAAGCTAGAGGAGAAAACTCCCTTTTTTTTAAAGACCTCTATCTAGTGCCATTTGTATTTGCACTTTTTGTTTAGTTGTAAGTTTTAATAGTTCCCCCTTTGAGGATTTGTCAGTACGAGCAGTATTGCTTATCAGAACACACCAACAGTCTTTTTGTAATATTCGCTTTTCCCCTTTGGTTCAGCCGAGCCTGCTGACAGATCATTCAAATTCAATTGTTTTATGTCTAAGCCGAACAGCTAATTAAAGTAGGGATGATTAACCTGACTGGCAGTGTCGCTCTCCCTCGCGCTCTCTCTCCCTCTCCCTTTCTCTCTCTCCCTCCCTCCTGCTCCAATCAGTCTTTTTCTCACACACTCTCTCTCTCCTTCCGTGTGTCTCTCTCTCTCCCTCTCTCTCTCCCTCTCTCTCTCTCTCTCTCCCCCCCTCCCTTTCCCTCTCTCCCCCCTCTCTCTTCCTCTCTCGGTCTCTCTCTCCCTCCTTCGGTTGGTCTCTCTCTCTCTCTCTGTCTCTTGCTCTACTGTTTTTTTTCCCTCTCTCTCTCTCCTAAACGTGGTCTGCTTGCTGATGGCAGAATGGCACTCGGAGATTTGTGCATTGTGTCTGGTTTCCTACGGGCAGGCTGACCCAGTGCCTCCAGGGACTTATCAATAGACCACTCAGAAGAGACACAGACAGGAGAGAGGAGGAGGGGTGGGGGGAGAGAGAGAGAATCAATATCAAGAATAGAAGGAGCTCCGAAGCCATTTTTTTTTTAAAGAAGTATCGGGACTTGGGAGAGGGTGACAAAGAAGGTTTTTCAAAGAGGCAGTGGAGGAGGTTCTAATAAATTTGGAAGGAAACAGTTCCCTGTCTTGGGAAAAGGAGAACTCCTGACTGATTAGCATTCACACCAGGTATGAGATGTTCGCTACCCCTTATCACTGTGTCGCAACCGAGATGGAAAAGCCTTTCTTTTTTTCTTTTTTTTTTTTTTTTAGGAGACTAAGGGAGCATGTATTTTGCTGTGTTTGTTGTTGGGGGGTAAGGGGGGTGGCGTGAGATCTGTGGGCATTTGTGTATGGGAGCAGAAAGAATGGAAGCAGTACAACGGGGGGTGGGAAAGAGTATGGAGTATGTTACTGTCTTCCCTGTCTTTGTGCACCCCTGGGGGGTTACCCAAGTTCATTTCTAGCAGGTGGATTTGGACGGGAGTTACTTAACGCTTGACCGCCAGTTTTGAAAAAAAGGAAAAGAAAAAAAAACGTTGCTTCCTATGTCTATTAAAGGAAGCTCCAATTTCTCTCTCTTCTCTCTCTCTCTCTCTCTCTCTCTCTCTCTGTCTCTTCCTCTGCCCAGCTACCTCTCTCTCCCACTCTCTCTCCGTCTCTCTCTCTCTCTCTCTCTCTCTCTCCCCCTCTGCCCCCCCATCCCTCTTCCCCTCTCTCCCTCTCCCTCTCTCCTCTTTTTTCCCTCTTCTAAGCAGACAGCGGGAGGGCTCCTGGCTCCCAGCCAGCCCAAAAGCCTCTAAGTGTTTTGCACTTGTTTCAGGGAGTAGCTGCCCGGGGATTTTTCAGCATTTTCACTAGAGAACAAAGAGTTCTTTACAAAGGGAAGGGGGGGGGGGGGGGAAGTGAGCTTAATGTCTGATATATGTTTTTCTATTTTTATTAGTTTTTCGCCTAAAAAGAAAGAGACAGGAACAGAACATTCACTCTATAATGACACAAAGACATTCAAAAGAAATCCGGTTATCTTTTCTCCCCATCACCCTAAGATATATACATAAAAAACAAAAAGGAAAAAGACTAATGAAGTTGGATATGTTGCTCTTTTCTCCTCTTTTAATCTTTCTAAATCCAACTGTTCTTATGCTCACTCTGCTATTTTTTTCTACTCACAATAAAAGTTGTGCAGGATGCATCTTCTCTTATCATCGCTTTACCCTTTCTGGGTCCCCAAAATCCTGTGGAGGAGAGAAGGAGAGTACACTAAATAATCAATTTAGTGCTGAGAACATCCTCTACTTTTGCCACTTGGGTAAAAAGTTAATTAAGGAATTTGGGCTCCCCAAATACCAATGGGGTGCACTACTTCTTTCAGTCTCACAAGTGTTGATACTGCCCGTGTCACTTGTCAGTTATTAAGAAAAGGTACTAAAGGGAGCAGATATTTGTATTTTATTTTTGTTTCCATCTAATTACGTAAATGCCAAAAACCCCCAGAGAGATTTCTTGCCCCATCCATGATACACTAGTTCAAGTGAAATAGAGTCTAAACAGAGATTTTTCAACAATGCTGATTGCCATGTAGCTTTGTGTTCTCCACTTGATTTTTTGCCTATGCTTGTATATTTTTACCATAAATGTGTGTTTGTAGCAAACATTCCAGAATGCTGATCATTTTCAAATTAATGCTTCAACAAAAGAAAAAAAGAAATCAGCATGTGAACTGTATGTGCAAAATATACTAACCAATTCGATCCTTTCTAAATGCATGTATATCTTTATACTAATATTCGGGAATTACAAACTCAAGAATATGCTTTCTTTCTAAAACTTCTCCTCCTAATGCATTTATATCTTGATTGTCACTTGGAAATCTTTTTAAGGTACCTCACAGACATGAAACAGAACAAGGGGTAAATGCACAAACACCAGAAATATCCCTAAATATGTATTTTTTACAGTACCTAACTAGAGAGAACTATTTTACCAAGTGAAAATGAGCTACAACAGTTGTTTCAAGATTCAGAAACTCTTTTCTTTCTTTTTTTTTCTTTTTTTTATTTTCCCATTCCCTGCATATACAATCTATTTCTGTCCCTGGGGAGAAAAACAGTAGGGAAAATATAGATATATACATTTTTCCATATTTTTAGACTGCATTTATATAACTGCTTCTTAAGAGTGTAACACATATCAGGGCAGAGTGTGATGTCTACTAGTCAGTAAACCCTTCTGGCTGGGAGGTGTGAGAGCCTTATGTTTGAAGTAACTTGATAACAAGGACTCTTCGGGAAACCTTACTTGTGTATGTGTTGCTTCAGTAATGACCTTCAGACAAAAAATAAGAGCTAGGTGGCCACTCGAACTCCCTGAAAGACATTAAATTTAGGGGAACTTTTGATAAATGCAAAATTTTCTAGGGTAGCTCCCTTCTCATAGTTACGTATTTTTTTCAGGAGAATTCTTGTATTGCCTCCAGACTTTTCTTTTTGTAAAGATTTTTAATGCTTCTAATAGTGCTTCAGGAGAAAAGGATCTTTAAAAAGAAAGTCATCAAAATAAGAGAAAAGAAACTCAGTCTCTAAAAAGTTTTATATTGAAGGAGAGAGCTTCCCCACACACAGACACTTTTGGCTTGTTTCTGATTTTTTCCCCTGAACTCTTTTGTTGCTGTGGGCTGTTGTGTTTACATTTTTGTTTTTTGTTTTGTTTTGTTTTTTTGGTTGTTGTTTTTTCTTTTTTGCTCTTTTTTTTTTTTTTTTTTGGTCTATTTTTTATGTGACCAAAGGGGTCTATGAAGGGGCAGAAGGGCTACGGGTAAGAGGCTGTTACTGAGAGCTGCACTAGCCCCTCTTGATCCCAACTCAGGCAGCTCCTATCAGCTAGTTGTGCCGCCAAGAGTACAGTGAAAGGTGATAGCTGTCATTCTGGGATTCTTCGTGGATCTGACCTGAGAGTAACACATTCACAGTCGAAGAGAAAAGGGAAAAAAAAATAGAGGAGGAGGAAAGAAAAGCTCTTTGAGCTGGAATACACTGGCCCTTTCTTCCTGTAGGCAATCCGCTCCAGTTCTTGGCGACGTGTCCTGCACTATCAGATATCATATGACTTTTTATTTAGATTCCTTTTCGGAGAATGGCCTGTTAGGACTCTGTTTGTTTTCTTTTATTTAATTTCCTTCTCCCCTCACCCGCTAGTTTTGTGTCTCTGTGTGTGTGTGTGTGTGTGTGTGTGTGAGAGAGAGAGAGAGAGAGAGAGTGTGTGTGTGTGTGTGTGTGTGTGCGCGCGCGCGCGCGCATGCATATGTGTGTGCAATTTTTATCTTTGTTTTTCTGTTGATCTGATGCTTTATTTAAGGACAAAGCTTTAATTATTTCAGTATACTGGTTTAATCATTTGCCAAAAAGAAACCTCATTCTAGGCTTTTTGGGGGGTCCATTTTTAAACACATCCATTAACACATGAGGCTAGAGATCCTAACAGGCTGCCGGTCGGCCCTTGGCCCACTCCCTCACCTTAACTTAACCCCCCCCCCTTCCTCAGCATGCAGGGTAGTGTGAGTTAGGAAACACCTGTGCTGAGTTGAGAAGGAAATAAAAGTAGAAGCAACTTCTTCAAATCTGCACTCCTAGTTTCACTTTAATAAACTTTTTTTTTAATCGTTGGCTTTTTTTTTTTTTTTTTTTTTGGCACCCTCTGCTGAGTTTGAAAGCATCCGAAATCCTGAACGATCTGTCTGTGGAGCTTTTGTGAGGTCAGCTGAACACCCCTGCAAAGTAGAGCAAGGGCTGAAAGTCATTCAGAGACTTCAGAATTAAGTGGGAGATTTCAAGAAGATCTGTGAGATCTGGGGAACCATGCAGGCTTTGGTAATACATGGTAAAATGGTATACTTGGGGATAGTCAGGGAGGAGAAAGAGAGAAATTCCTAGGCAGAAGTAACACAGGCATTCCTGCTGCATTTTGTACTTTGAGAATCATATTTAATTATGTTTTTATTTTGTGTAACTTACAGTTTAGCCAGTTGATACTGTGATAGCCTTCCTTCCATGCTTACTGTATCAAACAGAGGAATTAAGCTAACATTGTGATGGGGTTTCTCCTAAATTTTTGATATATTTCTTTTTTCAGTTTTGGAGAGTTCAGACTTTAGTTAGCAGAAGAAAAACATAACTTCTCTAGGTGCGCAAATGGCTGGCCACCTATACATTATTCTCATCATGATGTACTTTATCTACACATAACATAAAATATCCTGTTTGTATCAGGAGTTTTTAAAGTACAGTAACAAGCCAGACTCTCCTGAATGTTCAGATGACCATTACATTCTTTAAACCCACTGTTCTTAGTTCCTTGTTACTTTCTCTAAAATGGTTTTTCACAGACCTTAAATTTGTAATGCTTATCTTAGCCAGAGGTGAGTTCTGTTGAAACTTGGAGGGAAATTTATTCCACCCCTTTAAGAGTACCCAAAAGGGAAGGGAGAACTATTTTTCGTTCAACAAAAAATTTTAGAAGCCTTTCTTTCCCCCAGCGGAAAACTCCAAAACAGCTTTGTCTCAGAACGTTAAAGTTGGCATGGATAAGAAATGTGAGTTTTGCTTTGTTTGAGGAAATTTGTTTTTGAAACAACAGTGTTATAAATATTTTTAAATTGCCTGCTGAGCATGCGCTGTGTCTGACTTTATTCATAGTTTTAAACACACACCAAAGTGCAGTCTTCTGAATGGCCACAGGTAAGGCTGTTGAATTGTATGATCTTTCTCAGAGCAACCTTCAGGGAGTCTACTCAGTTTTCCAGAAGGGAAAAGGGTGAGAGCTGAGTTTAGACCTGGGCTCCCTTCTAAAAATCATAGAGCAAAAGTAGATTCCCCCATTCAGGCTTGCACACTATACTTAGGGTAAGTACTATTCAACTTTCCTTTCTTAACAGGAGTCGCTTGCCTTAACTTTTCGGCTTCATACTGGCAGAGTAAATTAAGAAAAAATTTAACTCAGTGAAGTGTTTGACTGAAGTAGAAAATTTGCAGATTTTTAAGGGCATCTATTGTGCATAAATTTGGGGCTACGAGAATTTGCCAGTGAAATGATAGCAGCTCTGTGCTTACAGAGCAAAGATGTGCTAGTCTGAACATGCCTGATCTCATCTGGAATCGAAAGCTAAATCTAGGTGGGCCTGTAATAATACCAGAAAAGGAACACATGTATCTTTTGTGCAACCTTTTTTTTTTCTTTTCTTTTCTTTCTTTCTTTTTTTTTTTTAAGCCAGGCTTCCAAAAGAGATGACAAAGAAGTAGGTTCTCCTCTTGTTTAATAAGTAGTCATACTTTGCTCCTGGAGATATGTGTTTCCAGTTGGTTTGGGTTGTTTTGTTTTGCTGTTGTCACTGCTGTTGAAGTATATTTTTTCCTGTCAGTGATTGTTAACACTTGCCATTTTTCAGAAGGTTTTATCTCCATTAACTCCGTTTGATGTTTCCTCACTGGGTTACCTTTCTCAAGTCTGCGATGACCCTCCCAGGCTTTGCAATTCTGATCGATTCTTGTCAGAAATATATTTATTCATTAGCTGTTTGTTATAGTTATGGTGGAGATAATGTTTGTTTTTCGGGCCTTGGTAACTATCCAAACAAATTCATTTTGAGGTGAAATTTCTCATAGTTGTTCTTGACTCAGTACTGAACTTGTCTTAGAAAGACTTGAAAAAAATCCAATGAGCCGTTGTTGGGTTTGTTTTTGTTTTTGTTTTTGTTTTTTCAAGAACTAAATATTTTTGTAATTCCAGGTGGATTCTTTTACAAAATACATACTGATACGCAATGTTTTTCTAATTTGTCTTTCCTTTCATACTTTAAAACAGAACCTGAAAAATAAGTGTGTAAAAAAGAAAGAAAGAAAGAAAAAACTGCCAGGTTAATGATGATATTTTAAATGCCCAATTTAAAATAATTCAAAGTTTCAATTTCCATGCAACATATCACCTCTCAGTGTCAGTCAGAAATACTTTGTGCAGATATACATCCACACACAGATAGCAACTCCACTTTACATTTATATTAATTTTATTTTTACCTAAAAGAGGATTAGCATTAATGCAAACTTTTATTAATTTATTGTATTCTATTTGTTTATAATTTAGAAATCCAGTTAACTATTGTCTCCATCTGATTATTTAACATACGTATTTACTTATAAATGTCTATTTGTGTTCTAATAAGGTACCTTAATTTATAGAGCAT